CTAACAACAACAACAACAACAACAATCATCATCATCATCATCATCATCATCATCATCAGCAGCAGCAGCAGCATCAGCATTATCATCTTAGAAATGCATATCTGGAAGGCACCCTATGGACAATTGAATTCAGCCCTTGTCAAAGAGGTGCAGAGGAAAATCAAACTCTCAATGTCTGGCTCCACAGCTAGATATCTAAACCACTGAACTATCTAGCAGTTCAACTAGCATGGCTAACAGCTGGGGGGGGATTGTTGTAGCTGTATCCTAAATAATGCTACAGAACTGAGCACAAGCTGCCAAAAAAGATTGTCCATCCAGGGTTTCCCCATGTTCCCACCTGCATTTTCTTTGTAGTATTTAGAGAAGGAAGAGAATATACACTTTGGCCAAAATCTTCTTGTGTAAGCATACAAATGGTTCAACTCTTGGAAGCAAATGGCCTTAAGTTAAGAAATCATCACAGACATTATCCATTGCATGATGAGTCACAGAATTCTTTATACAACTGTAAATGCCTTCAAACTGATTAACTTAGAGCCACTTGCCTCCAGAGGTTATGTCTTTTATTTTATGCTATACCATCATCGCCAGGCAAGACGATTTGGGCCATTATTCTACATGAATAGAAATTTAACAGATGTTTAATGATGGTTACCTTAAAATATTCCATCAGAGACCTGGAATACTTCATAGCGTGGTCCTTTTTTAGTTTAAACATTCTCAAGTACAAGAGGGATAAGCATCGGTAGCTGTGTTATTTGGGAAAAAAAATAAAGCAAAAATATATTACTCTGATGGTTAATGAAACTGCCAGCGAAGGACACCATGTGGCCAGATTTCAGCATCATTTTGGGTTGGAACAACTCTGATGTCCTTGTAATCACATGATCTCCTGAAAAAGATCAAGATATGACAACAGAATCATGTGATTCTGCTCTCCTTCAGCCCCTGCTTTGGTAGGGAAATGTACCAGCTGCCTTTATCATATGAGCTGAGGTAGAGATACCCCCACCACACCAGTTTTCAAACAGCTTCGCAGCCATGATTTAAAAACCTCCAAGAGTTCCATGTGCTCCAGCCATATCTCCTTTATGATGCCACTGAGAGAGAATTAACCATATCCTTAATCTATTTCAGGGGTGTTTAGCCTGCTTCTTTGGTTCACAGCAGGGAAAGGCTCCTAAAGACCATAATCAGAGGACATTTTTGCTAGAGCTAATCAGCCCACCCCCTGAATGGTCCTACCTGCAGTTTTCTGGCCCACAACAGGGATCTTTACTGTTTTTTTTAAAATATCTCTCTGTTTTGGTCTGTTTCCAGATTGAGTGATGGCTGGAAACAAACCAAAACAAGCCTTCCTGTTTTAATGTGTCAATATTGTGAAGTGAGCCAACTTCAGGATATTGGCAAATTAAACACTCCCTTGGTTCCCTTGAGGGGCCAAGGAAGTGAAATATTTTGATTTCTTTAGACTGTGTATTAGAACAGTGACTATGTGCTGCACCACCTTAAAAACAGCATTTGGTATAACAAGGTAGATTGGTGTATTAGATTTTGTTGTTGTTGTTTAGTCATTGTCATGTCTGACTCTTTGTGACCCCATGGACCAGAGCACGCCAGGCCCTCCTGTCTTCCACTGCCTTCTGGGGTCGGGTCAAATTCATGTTGGTAGCTTTGATGACCCTGTCCAACCATCTCATCCTCTGTCATCCCCTTCTCCTCTTGCCTTCACTCTTTCCCAACATCAGGGTCTTTTCCAGGTGTATTAAATAGGTGTACCTAATACACCTATCTAACTTGTAATACACAAATTAGGTATACCTAATACACATGTTAGGTTTACTTGCAATAATACCTAACACCTAATTAGGTAGATATACCTAATACCCACACCTAATACACACACAGTATCTAACACTGTTTTCAAAGGGATGCAGTGCATGTTTGCTTTCCTAATATATACTTATCCCCTCACTTCCTCAGGTCCTCGGTGGAGCTGTCTTTTAAAGGCATTTCCCAATACTGGCAAATTGACAGCAGGCTCTCGCAGACCAAATAGGGGTGCTTGAGGTCCGTGTGCCATCTGGATGCACCCAATGGCATACCGGACCTCCTAGTGACCCTATTTAGCCTGATCCAGCCTGCTTCAATTGCTCGGGTCGAAACACCACAGAAATGTGAAGGGAGCCTCGTTTGAGATTGTGTAGGCTGAGACAGAAGCAGGAAACTTGACGACTCAACATGTATCTGAAAATCTCCCCTTTCAGAGTCCAACCCTCCAGCTGCTACAAGACCGATCAGCTTGTCTTCTAGCTCCAATCCACCATGCCACAGAGGAAGGGCTTTCCCATTTCTGATTGGTCTTTAGGGATTTGTTTATTTTTGGTACCCCCCATTTCTGAAGGGTCTTGGGGGGTTGGTTGCTTTTTGGGTTTTTGTCCCATTTCCGATGGGTCTCAGGGGTTTTGTTTGTTTTTTGGCTTCCCCCATTTCCAATGGGCCTTGGGGGGTTTGGTTGCTTTTTTGGGTTTTTTCCCCCATTTCCGATGGGTCCTGCATGCTTCCCTTGCTTTTTCCTTTGTTTTCTTTGCATTTCCGACCTGCCCAGATTGCAATAGGGCAAGTTATTTGCACTTCTTAAAAATTATAGAGAGGTATTAACAACAAAGCACTAACAAGCTTTTCAGCAGCTTGACAAGAAAATTCAGCAATACAACAGAATGAATTGTGTCATTGATTGTAATAGGGTGAGTTATTTGCACTTCTTAAAAATTATATAGAGAGAGGTATTAACAACAAAGCACTAACAAGCTTTTCAGCAGCTTGATGAATGAAACTTTTATTTTATTTGATTTTATTTTATCCCAAGCATACACATTCCACCTTTCAGTGCTCAGTTCCCAAAGTAGCTTACGATAAATTCTAAGAAACTCCAAAATCATGGCTAAAATGTCAGATTGCATGAAACAAATAACAGCAATGCCAGCATTACCACCCAACTGTGACATTAAGATAAAAGTTTTGAAAGGGGGCACGTCAGAGAAGAAAAGGAAAGGAAACGAAATAGTCCTTCAAAGCAATGGTCCCCAACCTTGGGCCTCCAGATGTTCTTGGACTTCAGCTCCCAGAAATCCTGGCCAGCAGAGGTTGCGGTGAAAGCTTCTGGGCTGGGTCATTTTGAAAGGGGGCACTTCAGAGAGGAAAAGGAAACGAAACGAAATAGTCCTTCAAAGGCTTGGTCAGATAGCATTGTTTTCATCAGACCTCTAAACACGGATAATGATGAGGACAGATACATGAACTAGGTAGGGTTGTCCCCCAAGGAGTCTGCATCCTTCATACTGGGGTGGGCAAATTTTGCCCTCCCAGATACCACTGGAAGACAACTCCCAGCATCCTTCACTATTAGCTATGCTGGAGAGGTCTGATTGGGGTTAGAGTCAAGCAACTCCTAGATGGCCATTGGCTGGTGATTCCATTTTGTATGGGCACCGTTGGCCTAATGGAAGGGAGAGACTGTCTAAACAGGGCATGAAGGTTCATCTTGGAGAAGGCCATAGTTTAGCCCTGGGAGAGCTGAGAACCTTAAAATAAAGTGGGTCACTTTTCCAACTTTGGAACTTCCCCAAGGATTGCTTTCCAAGGATGGCCAGGACTAGAGACAAAGTGGGTGGAGCCACCTTTCCAACCTTGGATTGGAAAGGATTGCTTTCCAAGGGTGGCCAGGACTAGAGACAAAGTGGGTGGAGCCTCAAGGGAAGTTGGCAGAGCCAGCCTGATTCTTATCCATTTAATCCTTAGTAATTTAAATCAGATTGTGGATTCTATGCAGCACGAGATCTAGATTCAGTGTGTGAAGATTGCTAAGGTTTGAGGGGGCAGAACCATCTCACCATGCGTGGCCTTGGACAGAACCAAAGATGGAGTACCCACCAGCTCGATGGCCGGGAAAGCCAGTCATCAACCCTTATCTGGAGGAGTTACTCTTAAAGATCTCAACTCTCAGGATGTCTTAGCCAGCAAAGCCCCGAGCCATGTCAGCTAGGGGTTCTTGAGAACTCTAATCCAATGGCTCTCCCAGACTTTGCTCATTTGATGTCCAGAGTGGGCCGTGGCCCCATAAGAACCTGGGGAACTCCGAGAACTAATGTCCAAAAATCCATATATGTACACGTCTAGTATCCATTGATTTGAAAATCTAGTGCTGTTGTTATTAAGTAATGTCAAATCAGAACCAACATACGGTGACTCTAATAGGATTTTCAGGGCAAGAGAGATATTTCAGGAGTAGTTTTACCAGTTCCATGTCTCCAGTGAATTTCCATAGTGAAACAGGCATTCAAACCAGGCTCCTACCCACTACACCATAATGAGTATCTAGTGCTGCTTTATACTGAATCAAACCATTGGACTTTCTATTCACATGGGTGGCTGCTCTACCAGGGCCCTGGAGAGACCTCTCCCAGTCTGCCTACATATTCTTGAGCTTCCACAGCCATTGCACGTGCTGTACAACCCAGCTACATGCCCTTGTGGTGTGCAAGGTTTCCTGTCCTGTGTTACAAACGCTGGATTGTTTTCTTGCTACCTCCCCTGCCGTGTCTGCTCTTACGGCGAAAGTGTACCTTCTTACCCCCACATCCCATGCATTTAGCCTTCTGAAAATCAAATCATCATATAAAAGCCATTGTTCTGAGCCTTAATACAATTTCACAGGTACTTGTGTTAGAATAAGTAATAGAGTTCAGTGTTGCATAAGAAAATTTTAAGGTATCCAGACAGGCTCATTTACAAGGGAGTCATGGAGTGCGGGAGAACAGCATGGCCCTTACCCCATCAGAGGACTGCCGCCCTTGTCATCAGCATCATTACATGTTTTATATATAAAACCTTTTTAGTTCAGTGCCTTTCTCTTTCTCTGGCACACATAGGCACTCACTCCCTTTTTAGATGCCAGGCCAGGACAAATAACAAAGACCTATACCCTTCGAAGATGCACAGTCTTTAAAGGGAAGGGATTTAAAGATACTGTTAAACTTAAACTGCCTTGGCAGTCATATTTCTGGCAGCCTGAGTCACTCTGAGCCATTGCTCATTCTCACAAATCAATGTCATTTGTGTCCACCCAAGCCTCAGTAGAGCTATAATTAGCAAAACGGAAGAAAACAGCAATCTGGTAGAAGCAAGCCGAGAGAGAGAGAGAGAGAGAGAGAGAGAGAGAGCAGATGAGAACACAGCATGCTTATGTTGCCTGTTCCAGATCTGGGATAAATAGGAAGTACAGCCACAATAGAGAAAGGCTCCCATCAGATGAAATGGAAACAAACTTAAAAATGTGGGTCTCGTCCCGCCATCTCTAATACCAAAGCAGACGTTGACTGAACCATCAAAAGAGGCATACAGAGGAGAAGTGCACAGGTCCCCTGGAACCCACCCTTTACCTCCCACAACCGCTTTTCTCAGATACTGTAAGGAGCTGTATTGACTTCTAGCATTGGGTGTCAGCTGGCGAAAAAGTTGTGTCACGGATGCAAGGAGCAAGATGCAGACATATAGGTGGATGGATCATTGATGTTTGTTCCCAGGGCCCGTTCAAGGCAACTCTTTGCTAGTTCCATGCAGATATTCTTTCGATTATAGTCATAATTATAATTATTTATATTGTGTTTCTACCTCAGAGGCATTCCAATAAAATCAATAAATATGCAACAACAGCAAAAAGGCCGGTATGTATTTTTGGACATACTTTTCAAAACAGATGGATTAATGGACTTGTGTGCAGATTTCAGATACGCATGCAGTGGTGGGTTATTTTTGCACTTTTCACAAAGGGCACGTGTGTTATCAGACATATTCTTACAGGCCTATAAATGTACAGATTTCCAGCCACAAACTGCATCTGCTTTCATGCTTGGTCTGGAAAGAACAGATTGGGTCAGTGGGTGGCCAGAATCCTCACTTGCATATGGATCGCATCACTCCGCACAGCTAATTGCGCCTAAGTGACAAGATGCCTGGGTGTGCCCCAGTCTTGCGCCTGGTCATGTGGCCAGCTGTGCAGCTGAGATGCACCCTCATCAGTTTGCTATGGCAAATTATGCAAACCTTACAGGAATACCAATAGTATTCTAGCCAATATTCTTAAAAATAATTGAAGGAGCAAACGTCTCCTAATGCGTCCCTGTTCGCCATCCTTTGCCCACCTCCTTTGCCGAACCCCACTTTCTTCTTTACACGAGACTCAGCATGACTCTCACCATATCCACCACAGGGGTGGGGAGTAAGTATGTCACCTAACATGGTCTCCATGGACATCAAAGGCTCAAGGCTGGTTGGAGGGGGCTTTATTGAAATGGGAGATGTAGGCAGAACAATGTGCAGGCTCCAGTAAACCTCACTCTCCCCAGTTGGTTTGTCCTTGCAAAGGCTCAGTTCCAATCACTAGCCCTCATTTCCCCCAGTCTGCTTGACCCTGCAGGGGCTCAGATCCTGCTGGACACATCTGCCTGGTGAGCACTTAGTTCTGCTCACCGGCTCACCACCGCCCCAAGTCTGAGAGCAGGGCTGGGGCTGAGTAGCCATCTGACACCCTTAATGAAGGTTGGTCGCTCCTGGCTTCTGCAAGACACACCATCGTTTTCGCCTGGAAGGAGGCTGATCCACTCCCCGTTCCAAAGGTCCTGAAGAGCAAGTGGTTGGACATAAGGATTTTTGGTCTCATCAACCCTTAATACTTTTGGCTCCCTAAACTGTTACCCCCAATCTGTTGTTATTGTTATCTGCTGTCAAGTTGGAACTGACTTACAGCGACCCTAACATGGCGCTCAAGGTGAGTGAGAAATTCAAGGAGTGGTTTCACCAGTTCCACTCCCCCAACGAGTTTCCATGGCCAAGTGGGGATTCAAACCCTGTCCTCCAGAGTCCTAGTCTATCTCCCTATCGACTACATCACACTGGGCATTCAATCCCTGGTTTAGTATTGCTTTAATGTTATGTATGATCTTTCTGCTGTACTGTAACCTCCTTTGTAGTCTCTCCTTTCTGTTTCAACCAGAGCGGCATGCAAATACACGCTCTGAAATATTTACAAGGCATATTATTTCCCCAAAGATAACAGCTTCTTTTCAAATCCAGTACATTTCTGCTATGTAAACAAATACTCATTCATAATGCAAAGCGTGTACTATTTCCTTATTGAGGCTCTTTCGTCGTCTCCTATCCTGCATTTGTTCATGTTTAAAAAAATGATCTATGTTGCTCCAGGAAGATCCCGCATGTGCCAGGCATTGTGTTTATAAAAGCATTGATTTGAGGACATTTAGAATGACCTAAGCTTCTAAGGGGTGAAATATTAACAAATAGCATGCCTGTATCAATGGTCATTACAGACAGAGAAGAGGCAGCCTATAGTGTTACATACAGCACTGATGTTACCTGTCTGTCATGGGTTTGGAGGGAAAGTTCCATCCTATGGGGAGTGGAAGGCGGGACATCAGGAGGAGGGGCTGTACTGTATAAATATGTGATGCCTGTGTGGTGAGAGTGAGAGACTAAGAGACACTGGGTTGTGACGAAGCAGCAGCTGGGAAGAAGAAGCTGTTGTGGGAGTCTGTGTGTCAGACAGGGTACTTCTGTGTGTCAGAGTACCAACCTGATAGGTTCAGGTGTCTGTTGGTTAGCCAGAACTGATAGGTTCAGGGTCTGTGCTTCAAGTTAGGGTTCTGGGTGAACCAAACTGTATGCTTGTATGAGTGAGAATAAGCCACGTTACTTTATGTTATTCACCTGATTGTTTTATTTTCCTGTGTGTGTATTTAAAATAAACCTTATTCTTTTTATTGTTTAAAAATCCATCCCTGGTCTGTGTGACTTCTTAGAGGGAATGGTTGGTGGCAGCTTAGTGTAACTGTGTGACATATCCCAGTAGGTCTGGGTTTGTCACATATAGTTCAAACAGACAGATGGTTCCTTGCCCTGATATGGTGGGGAGAGATTCCCCCCTGAACCACATTTCATGGATTGAATACCACAGATAGCATTTTCTTATCTGCTCAAACGAAAAGTATTTCAGCGGCACTGATTTGCAAATGCCAGACACATGGTTAAGAGATGCCTCAAAATGTTGAGAAAAAAAACCTCTGCATCTTCAGTTTGTTCTCAGTAGCTTCACACACTGGAATGATGGGAGAGACATGTGCGTCTTCTTCCTTTGGTTTGAGATAATCATTATTTGTTGTTACTTCTTGACAGGGCAAACTGGGGTTAGTGGAAAAACCATTATGTGCGTCTTTATCAGAACTACAGATTTGCAACACTCCTAGACCGTGGGTGCAAAGGTTAAACCTTCTTGTCATTTCTAAATATACATTATGATATATAAGGCCATGCAGATGATTTTGCGAGTGGCTTTATGCACAACAGAAAGGTGAGGTGCTATATTTGAAATAAAATAAGTACATACATTTAAAGAATATGGCAACAGTTTTGTACCCATGTTTCAGCTGCTGTTAAAAAGCTTTGTACATATTAAGAGAGTCAGCAAATTAAATTCAAGATGGCTGCAGGACAGAACGTATTAAAAACTTCAGTATCTGTAAGTATCTCTCATGCTTACCACCCAACAGAGCTTGGTGCACTGATCAATACAGTTACCTTTATTTGAATTTAGTCAGTTATAGAGCTGTGCAAGGTTTTTGCAAACTCCTCTGAAAAAGGAGGTATTTACAAAGGACCCGAGGTCTTGGAACTTGAAACCTATATAATCTAGACCACTGTTTCCTAGAAAAGTCAGAAAATGCAACATTTATTAATGGTCTGAAACTGTCTGTCTTAAGTCCATCAGCACAAATATCAGTGGCAAAATGCAGCCAGTTAAAAAGTTGGTGTAGGCATTCCCTGTCACATACCAGTCATGTGACTTGGGGTGTAAGTGCAAATACCCACACTGGCTTCTTAATCAGGGGCAATTGGCTGCTGAAATTTATGCTGATGGATTAAACACTGATGTAATTTTTCGACTGGATTTTGGCCCATGTTTGGTCAAAGCTCAGGGCATGCGGTGCAGCTCAGAAACAGAGAGAAGGATCCTGCGAAGAGTGAGCAGATGGAATTAACTCATGGAATGGAATACAGTCATGCCCCCGCTTAATGATTACCCCATATAACAACTATGCCCCGCTTAACAACGAATCCGCTTCACAACAATGTTTTTGCAATCGCAAAATAATGTTTTAATTGGGTGTTTTCTCTTTGCAATGATCAGTTCCCTACTTCAGGAACCGATTCTTCTCATTACAATGATCAAAACAGCTGATTGTCAGGTTTTCAAAATGGCCACCGGGTGCTCAAAATGACTCCCCGCTGTTTTTAGGAGGCATTTTTCACAAGACAGGCACCCGAAAATGGCCGCCATATGGAGGATCTTCACTGAACGATTAGGTGTTTCGCCCATTGGAATGCATTAAGCGGTTTTTAATGTGTTTAAATGGGGTTTTTTATTTTGTTTGATGACGTTTTCGCTCTACAGCGATTTCGCTGGAACAAATTAACGTCGTCAAGCAAGGCACCACTGTACTAGGTTCTGGATGTTCAGGTGACTGGCTGTATGTTTGAATCTCTCTCTCTCTTTCTCTCTTTGCTGATTTTCACATCCATTTGTGAATCCATTTCCAAAGGCTTGAATTGTGAGGTGCAGTTAAGGAGGCATGACTCAACTGTCAAAACTATGGATTGATGCTGCTCCATCTCAGTACAGTCTCCTCTGGTGAATGTGTTTATTCTGTCATTCGCCACAACACTGTGGGATGCAGTGAAATTCAGATAATATAGAGTGGCACCGAAATGTCATTAATGAAAAAGACTCTATGTGTTCTTACAGAGAGCAAGTTGAATTTCTCTGAGTCTGTACATACTGTACCTGCATAAATATGGAAAAGGAATCTTTGCAAGTTACAACTTCCTCTACCAAATTTCATCTAGGAACCATTTTTAATAGCCAAATTACAAACCTCTGGAAAACAGGGGTTATAACAAGAGATTCCCCATGGACTCGCTTCCATGTTAGAAATGAGATAACGATCCCCTTTGAAAGACAAGTGTCATTGCCAAATGGCGAGATTACTATACTTTACTTCCAACCCACTACATTTCAATTTTAGTTTTATGAATATTGCAAATTATATAACACACACACATTATAACCTCTAACGGGGCTAATTTATAAGAGCAGTGTCCATCAATTATAAATTTTCCATGACATTAATAAAATGGCAAGAAGAACTAATTATGATGACTTCTCAGATGAAGATGCCTTGGTCTAATCATTAATGAGGTCGAGAGGATACTTTGAAACCCCCCCAGCAAGTTCTAATTATGAGTGAAATGAGATTATGAAAATGATCATAGAAAGGACATTAACCTGATGAGTTCCACAGTCTCCGAGTACATGGTGTAGGGAGATTTTGCTTCTAATGGATCGCGCTCCATGGCATTCCCACACTCAATAAAGGACAGGGCAGCATCAGCATAATTCACCGCTTTGCCAAACTTTTCCAGCTGGAAGAAAAAGAAGGAAAGAAAGAGGAAACACACTCAAGATGTGTACTAGAACAACTTAGTCATAAGTAATGGGACCAAAGGACATCCACTGATGATTCAAGACACATACAAGGAAATAGGTCTTCACACAGAATGTATTTAGATTGTGGAACTCACTGCCACAAGATATAGTGATGCCTGCCAAATTGGACGGCTAAGAAAGGGGATTAGATAAATTCACGGAAATTAAGGTGATCAGTGGTCAAAATTCTGTTGCTAAGCGTAGTGGGCTAAGCAACAGGATTTGGGTTGCCGACACCCTAATTGGCTCCACTCTAACAAGTGACTTACTATTCTAATTTAAATTGCAATTAGAGTAGATCCATTTAAATCAATGAAACTTATGGAGGCGTTGACTCAGCCAATCCCCATTGATTCAATAAGTTTAGTGCAATTTACTATGCTACCCAACAAGATTTTGGGCATACTACTTTAGCATCAAAAGGGGCATGATGCTGTATACCATTTGCTAGGAAGCACTAAGATGGAAGGTGCTGTTGCATTCACGTCTTGCTTATGGGCTTCCCATAAGCAACTGGTTGGCCTCATGGCCCAATTGCCGACCCAGTTAGAATAGACCCCTTGAATCAAGTGAAGTGATCTAAGTGTTGACTTACCACAATTCAATTGATGCAGTGGGTACACACTAGTTGGGGCTAACAACAGGATTTGGGCCTGAGCTGTTAGATGAGACAATCCTCTGGTTTTGATTTCAGGATAAGATACAGGGGTCAGAATGCAATGGGGGAACTTATGCTGGTCAAAATAGAATTAATTGCATACATTGCAGTGGCAAATTATCTTGACGCACGTATTCCTTAAGGAGCATGCCAAGATGTACAACTGGCACATAGTGGAAAATGTGAGCAGCAGCTTGTTTATGAGTGCCAATTCACTGCTATTTACACAATGAGATCTGCACTAGTGTAAATCCTCTACAGGATTCTGGCGATTGTTGCTACCATCCACCAGGCATTACACTTGTTTTTGTTTTCAAAATTACTTGCTTGTTTGTTTGCTTTGGCAAAACACACTAACTCTCAATGAGAGATGGGCACAAACTGCCATTTCAGTGGTTCGTGACAGTTTTTTCTTCTTCTTCTTCTTCTTCTTTTGCAGAATAGATGTTTGGCACTTCCCAGTCCTGCCGGGGAGCTGCCTCTGTGTGGGCACCTGCTAGAGGAGGGGCTGGGAAGTGCTAAGCCTCTGTTCAATGGATCAATGAACTGGCAGGAAATGCCAAGCCAGCAGTTCATGCCCACCCTTGGCTCTCAGTCCTCGGCTGTCTTGTATTCCACTCCGGCAAGGCACAGCCATGTGTGCAACTGATGTGGTTACTATCTGGATGAGCGCATACATCCTTCCTGTAACAGGGAGATCCTCAAAGATATTTTAAGAGCAGCCTCTTGCCCCTTAACTTAAGAACAAGAATGCCTTTGAAGTTCATTCATGTGGCTGCCTCTTGCTGTTTCTCCTGTTGCAACGAAGGGCCACATGAGACGTGATGGTAATCTCCCCCTCTTTGTGCTGACCAGGCAGAACTGAAAACCTCCCATTTTCCTGCTAGGGCTACTCAATACAAAGCTTAGAAAGAGACTTTTTATTTGTAATGCTTCATATGACTCATTACCGATCAATCAAATTGTTACCATTTCAATGATTATCCTCAATCAAATTGTTACCCCTGATGTTATCAAAAAATTTTTTTGAAGTTGTTTGCTATATTACGTGTTGGGGCTGGGAAGTGCTAAGCCTCTGTTCAATGGATCAATGAACTGGCAGGAAATGCCAAGCCAGCAGTTCATGCCCACCCTTGGCTCTCAGTCCTCGGCTGTCTTGTATTCCACTCCGGCAAGGCACAGCCATGTGTGCAACTGATGTGGTTACTATCTGGATGAGCGCATACATCCTTCCTGTAACAGGGAGATCCTCAAAGATATTTTAAGAGCAGCCTCTTGCCCCTTAACTTAAGAACAAGAATGCCTTTGAAGTTCATTCATGTGGCTGCCTCTTGCTGTTTCTCCTGTTGCAACGAAGGGCCACATGAGACGTGATGGTAATCTCCCCCTCTTTGTGCTGACCAGGCAGAACTGAAAACCTCCCATTTTCCTGCTAGGGCTACTCAATACAAAGCTTAGAAAGAGACTTTTTATTTGTAATGCTTCATATGACTCATTACCGATCAATCAAATTGTTACCATTTCAATGATTATCCTCAATCAAATTGTTACCCCTGATGTTATCAATGTTGTTGTTGTTGTTGTTGTTGTTGTTGTTGTTGTTGTTGTTGTTGTTGTTGTTGTTGTTGTTGTTGTTGTTGTTGTTTTGAAGTTGTTTGCTATATTACGTGTTGCTTTTAGACCTTTCATGGCAATAGAATCATGTAAACATATAAGAAAACTCATCCAACCCTAACAATGCTCATGGCTTACAGTGGGGTCTCGACTTAAGAACTTAATCCGTATTGGAAGGTGGTTCTCAAGTTGAAAAGTTCTTATGTTGAATCTGCATTTCCCATAAGAATGCATTGAAAACCATTTAATCCGTATCTGCTCTTTTCCGTCCATAGAAACTACAGTGGAACCTCTACTTAAGAACTTAATCCGTTTTGGAATGGTGTTCTTAAGTTGAAGCAAAATTTCCCATAGGAATGGACTGAAAACCAATTAATCCGTTCTGGCTGTTTTTTTGTTATGTAGAGGTGCATTCGTACATTGAAGCATTAGTTCCCATAGGAACTAATGCAAAGCTGGTTAATACGTACTCTACCACTAGGGGAGAATTTTTTTTTAACCTAAAATGACCTAAGGTTAAAAAAAGAGCAGGAAAGGTTTTTTTTTTTCCTGTTCTTATCTTGGATTTCTGTTCTCAAGTAGAAGCAAAATTTAGCAAATGGAGCTGTTCTTAAGTTGGATTGTTCTTAAGTAGGGACGTTCTTTAGTAGAGACCCCACTGTACATGAAATATTGGGGGGAGGCGGAGGCCATTTCTGGTGGTCAAGGTTATTTTTTAAAAAAGTAATGCGTTAGAAGTAGCATCTTCCAAAATTACTTCCAAACTCTGTGTCCATGAATACTCTTTTCTATTTACAACAGGATAGGAAGAAAGGTTTCTGAATGGGCTGAACTACAGTACATGATAGAATTAAGGTACCATTGGAAATGGGGCTTCCTTAAGAGGAGCTATTTGTTTACTGTAATGAGTTGTAGCCTCAATCTGCATTTAGAAAATTAGCCTGCTTTTATTTTGTAATTGGTCATTGGGGTATAAGCACAGCTTTGCAGGATAGGAAGAAAGGTTCCTGAATGGGCTGAACTACATGATAGAATTAAGGCACCATTGGAAATGGGACTTCCTTAAGAGAAGCTGTTTGTTTACTGTAATGAGTGCTAGCCTCAATCTGCATTTAGAAAATCAGCCTGCTTTTATTTTGCAATTGGTCATTGGGGTATAAGCACAGCTTTGTTTTCTAGTCAGATTTCTCAAGCAGGTAGGCTTGAAGTATTTGTGTGCCTTGGGGGATAACAATGTAAGAGAGAACACACATTTGCTTAAATATGTGATCAGACCCCAGGTCTCTTCTGACCATCAGCTCTAGTTTCCTGCTGATGCCATTTGCTGTAAATCAGCAAGAATACAGCACGATAAATACCAAGCAGAATTTAACATCATTTGTAGATTGGCCTTGGGAAGGAAAAAAGCAGTTGGACAAAATCCCATTTACTGTCAGTGCCTAAGTAGACTTCCGCAGATGTGAGACAAAAGGAATAAACACAGCAAGGGAACTGATAGGTAATGGGAGAGCTCAGCAATGGGGTAAAAATAGGGTCAAAGAAGGCATGTTCTAGATAGTGAAGGATATTGCAGGAGGGTTGCTGTTTCCCCATCGCAGTGCGTCAAGTTGTTAAACAGAGCCTGTCTTGGCTTCCCAGCAAAAGCACAGGGGACATCAAACAACATGTGACAGGGAAGCGTCGCCTGCAGGCAGTGGCATGATGCGCCATGCCTTTTTCTTGTTAGTGCTGCATGAAAAACAGCCTGAATTCTGCCAGGCCCAGACAAAGGTAGCAAGATGGAAGACTCGTCAACAGGCAGCGAGTGGGGAGGGGGAGCGTGGATCAGCACCATGCATGGAGGCAGCTTGGAACCTATGCCTATAAATATTTGTGAGCAGCAGACAGGCAGCAAACCAGTGGCTAGACAACATGAGCATCTGTTGGAAAGTCAATCAGCCAGGGGAGGTGTTGACAACCTGCTTCAGTGAGCTGTCTTGACTGGTAATGGTTTTAATGAATGTACAGATATCGGCTTAATTCCCCTTCTCCAAATAGGCAACCAATTTAGAACAAACTTTTCTTTCTCTTTCTTTCTTTCTTTCTTTCTTTCTTTCTTTCTTTCTTTCTTTCTTTCTTTCTTTCTTTCTTTCTTTCTTTCTTTCTTTCTTTCTTTCTCTCTCTCTCTCTC